GACATCTGAAATGAAGTATTTCTAAAATTATTTTTTAAACCTTTGTGTCATGTTTTAAGAAGACACATGTAATCTAATGGCATTAACTACAATGAAACTAAAGAGTTGTATAAATGGCAAGGGGCTTTCTGGCTTTGGGTGGTGTTCCACCTAATGTGTGGTAGCTACTGCTCTCAAATGTCAGGTTCATCATAAATCCATTTCTCTGGCGTTACCAGATTTCTCTGTGTTCCAGAGTAGTTTAGCTGACTAGCTTTATGGGGATTTCTGACTTGCTGTTACAAGCAGAAGCTATGTATAAAATATTATAGTGACAAAAGACTTGTAAACAAGATGGTTTTTAGATTTTTTCCAGACTATAGGTAACACGATCAAGGTATTAACAGAGATACAGCATAATTGCTATTGTAAATGTGCAGTAGAGTCTTCACATGCTGTAAGCGGCATTTGGGGATGAGAAAAAATTGTGATGCTCTATATTCAAGCAATAAACAACCCCCTGTTGATCTGCACAATGCATGGCAGTATTCTACATATCACACCAGGTCCACAATGAGGCTTCTGTAATTGTACAGAATCTTTTTTCCATTTGAGATTTAGGTAATGTATGCAGGAATTTATAACTAACTGATGTTAAGCATTTATAGATCTTTATGTGCCTAAAACAGTGTACAGGCTGTAGTTATCAAAGGGAACTCAATTAGATGGTTAAAGTGTCTTGGGTAAAGATCCGTGTCTGACTTGCTAACGCTACCTATGCTCAACTGAAGAGATTTTTGATGTTTTGTACATGAAAGGCATGAGGCAGAAAGGTGAAATGAGTTCAGAATCACACTGACAAAAGAAGCATTTGACCTCATGTCTTGTGGTTTTTTTTAAAAAAAGTACAGTATTTTACTGATCAAAACAATCGTTTTAAATTAAAAATAGAATTTCAGTCTTAATTTAAATTTTCCAAGAACCATGGGTTGCTTCCTAATCCAGTGAAGGCAAAAATGAAATTTTACTATGTAGTTGTAATGTTGTTACTTTATGTGAATATTGGTAGATACCTTCTCTTTTTACTACTGTGATGTTTGTTTGTTTGTTTGTTTATTTTAGTAAAGTTAGTCTTGCACTTATTCACCTGCTCAATATTTAATGCTAATTAAAATTAGCTCTTTCATTCATGTTAAAAAATCTTGAATTAATGCAGGCTTCTATCAGGTAATTAAGAAATGCAATTCTTATACAGCTAGTTAAGTTTTGATTCTATTTAATTCAATTGATTTTTATTAAGGACTATCCTTAAGGCATTCACCTCCACTTTGGGTGTTAATAGAGTATGTACCTACAGCTGTCTTTAGTGATGTATTTTGTGATGTTCAGGTGACTTCACGTTCTTGAAGCAAAAATAATAATGTAACCTACTATTAATAGTAACCTAGAAAGAAAAAATATGTAGACTTACGGATCTTTTATAGCAAAAGTGAAAAAGTAGTCAAACTCAAGTAAATCGTAATGCCACTAACATGGCTAAATACTGTTTTTGGATGACATCCCAACAATCTGAAATAGAGGATGAATATGAAAATGTTGTGTTTTATGATCATAGAAGGGTTGGAATGGCATGGACAGACTTATCCATTATTTTCCATAGTCTATATTTTAAAATAAACCAGTATGACCTGGGCAGAAGTATCAGCTTACGTCTGTAAAGAGCCTGAATAATTGACCTGCCAGCTTTTTCAGCCAGCTCAGGAGGTACTGATTCAGATGCCAGTGTTTAAAGTTGAATGTTTTCCTGAATGAGAAAATATACTGGAAATGAGAGGAAGTATGTTATGCAGCTCTATACCAGTGCTTTGAAAAATTGTGTATTGGGGGTTGGGGGGACAGACACAAGACTTGTAGAGAGAGGACACATACTGTTAATCTTGATTAATGTAGGCCTTGGCACCCTTAGTGTCATGTATGGAGATGCAAGCTAGCTTGGGTACCAGGAATAATACAGCGGTTTTGCCCAGGCAGTCTAGTATGTTCTTACTGGGAATAACTTTTTGGTACAGATGGTAGAGAGGCTAAGTAGAGGTGAAGCTCTTAATATACTGCTCACAGATAAGGAGTTGCTTGAGGACATGAAAGTAGAGGGTGACTTGGGAGACGATAACCATAAAATGATTGACAATCTTAAAAGGAACTGAACTTCAAAAAAGCAGATTTTACTAAACTTGGGGAGCTCTGAGAGGTAAGTCTGACAGGAAAAGGTGGCCAGGAGAATTAGCTGTACCTAAGGAGGTGCAGAAGCAAGAATGGGAAGTGTACAAGAGGATATTATTGCATGGGCCTGCAGGAAGTAAGTCAAAGGCACAATTTGAGATGCCACTGGAAAAGGCAATTCAAAAAGGACTCTAGAAGTATGTTAGAAGTAACAGACCAAAGAAAGTGTAGGTCCATGAAAGAATGAAGAAGGCAATGGAGTTACTAATGAGGCCAAAGTATTTGATGCCTTTTCTTACTTCATGAATAAAGTGAGCCAGTGGATGACAAGTGCAGGTGTCAGCACAGATGGGGAAGGAGGTAAACAACCAGGAGTAGTGGAAGAACAGCCTATTTCTAAATGGCTGGAAGAGAACAAGGTGATTGGGAATAGCCTATATGGATTCACCAGGTCATGCCTGCTGAACCCAGTTTCCTTCTATAAGATTATATGGTCTGTGGATTCATAGATGTTTGGGTTGGAAGGAACCTCAGTAGATCATCGAGTCTGACCTCTTGTCCTGGGCAGGAAAGAGCACTGGGATATAGATTCATAGATGAATGAATGATGGGGGTGGTGTGGTGGATGTGAAGTAGCTTGATGTTAGCAAGGCTTTGAAATCCAGACTAGCTGAAAGTATTGTAAAGTGGATGCATAACTGGTTGGATCATAGCACTCAGTGGGTAGTCGTCAATGGTTCAGTGTCTGCTTGAGGAGGTGTTCCTCTTCCCAAGTACTGTTCCCCAAGGATCTGTTCTGGGTCAGTATTATTTAACACCACAAATGATTTGGAGGATGAATTCAGTGCATGTTTAGCAAATTTGCAGATAATGCCAAATTGGGTTGAGTTGCAGAAATTTTGGAGTAGGGGTTGGCAATATGTGACCGTGGGCCAGATCCAGCCTGCAAAGCCATTTGACTGGGCTTGCGGACAGGGGGTTCCATGGTGGGGGGGACTCAGCAGCAGTTGTTTTCCCATGCAGCTGCAAGGAAAAAGGGCTGACTGCACATGCTTTTCCCATGCCACTGCAAAGGAGTTGCTGGCAGCATCTGGGACTTCCCACCCCACTGCCTTTGACCCAGACTGAGTTGGTCCAGCGTGCAGGTTGTTAAGGTTGCCAGCTGCTGCTCTGGAGGGTAGAACTGGGATCAAAAGTAACTTGAATGAGCTAGAGAAATGGTTTGAAATGGCGCATGAAGTTCAGCACAGGCAAATGCAGAGTCCTGCCCTTGGGTTGGAATAATATACAGACTGGGGAATGATCAGTTAGGGCAATGTTTTCCAGCCCACGGCCCACTTATATTAATAAAATTTTTCCACAACACACCTGTTAAGGTATTCCCCATCATTGTAGCTCACTGCCATGGCAAAATTCTGCAGCACATCTCTTCATTTCTGCTGGCATGCTTTTGTACTGCAGCACACTGGTTGGGAAACACTGAGCTAGGGGAATACTGCAGCAATGGACCTAGGAGTTACAGTAGGTCATAAGCTGAATATGGGCCAACACTGCACTGTTGCAAAACAAAAAAAATCCAACAAAAAACATTCTGGGCTGTATAATCAGGAGTCTCACTTCCAAATCAAAGGAAGTGATTCTGTTCTCCTCTGTTCAGCACTAGTGAGGTCTCACCTGGAGTACCATAACCAGTTTTGGGCCCCACACCTTAAGACAGATGTGGACAGATAGAAAAAATTGCAACAGAGGGCAACAAAAATTATTAAAAGCTGAGAAACATGACTTACAAGGAAAGGTTGAAAGAACTAGGATTCAGTGTGGAGAAAAGATGGGTTTTGGTAATGCTTCAATACCTAAAGGGCAGTTATAAGAAGGATGGAGATATACTATTTTCTATGGCTGTAGAGAACAGAACTGGGAGCAAAGGCCTTAAACTACAGCAGAGAGCATTTAGGCTGATGATTAGGAGGGACTTCCTATGAGTAGGTGGTCAGGCATTAGAACAGACTACTTAGAGAAGTTGTGGAATCTCCAACCTTGGAAGTTTTCAAGAGCTGGTTACACAGACACCTGACTGGGACTGTTTAGTCAGAAGTGATCCTACCTTGTACAGGGGGCTGGACTGGATGACCCCATGAGATCCCTTCCATCCCTGTGATCCTATTATCACAGTGCTACTCAGGCTAACTGACCCTGTATCGAGGTATCTCTTTCATGTGTCTCTTTACAGCATGGCATAGTACTGTGGGGGTGATATTGTAACATGGTATGTTTTATACTGAAGCAAAAGTCTGGGAAATAAGGAATTATGCCCCTTTTTCAGTCACAGGGCATACATTCTGATTAAAGTCCTAGGATTAGATGGCCTATGCAAAGTAGTATTTTCGAATCTTGATATGGTTACTTATTTTAAGTTAAATACCTGGACTGTGCCATCTCCAAACTACGTTCTCCAACATTTATTGAAGGAGAGCTGGACCCACAGGACCACCTGTAGAGGTATGTGACTTCTATTAGGATGGACCTAGCTTTCACCCGATTCCCATACATGTGGGGTTCTGTGTCTAAATTTCACTGTTTCATCCTGTGTGGGAAGAGAACAAACAGCCTTGACCCTTTGAAGAATTCGGAGGAAACTACAAAGTTCCTTTTGATTTTTCTTGGCTTCTCTGCAGATATTCTATGCAAGAATGTTATGTATTCCTTCCTCAACAAATGCAAGTCAAGGAAAATTTAAAAGTATCTTTGCTCGCATAATAAAAATTATAATAGCACACAATTTTTGAGACGCAGCAAACATCTTTTACTGAATTCCAGAAGTAAACAGTTTATTAAGAAACTCAATTTAAAATACACATCAGAGCATAGTATTATCAGATGTGTATGAAACAAACTATGGCCCAAGTTCTGTCCTGGTTTGAGTGGAAACGTGAAAAATCAACCTCAGGACTTGATTAAATCTAGGCAACCATGTTTGAAAATACTGTTACTTCTACAAGTGGAAATCTATCACAATAACAACTTGAAGGGTGGGGGGGGACTGTAAATTAAATATTTATCTGTTTCCAACTTTTCAAACTCTAAATAGAAAATAACTTTTTTCTATTAAGCACTGTAATTCAGTTATATTTTCCAGCATTTCTTAGAGAATTCTGCAAAAGTGAATAAAAACAACCACTTCCATTAAGAAACATCATTATTTTTGGTACATTTTAGGAAAAGACATGAAGTGCCTGATGTTTCCTTTGGCTGCTTTGTATAAGCGACCTCCATTGGTGATTTCAGGTGCCCATGTAAGTTGTCCATACACACATTCTGGGGGAGGTGGGGAAAAAGTCTTTTAGTTACGTAAAAATACAATATTAAGGAAAAAAATCAGACATACTTTGGCAGTGGTGGTATGCCTAATCCTACCCTTCTTACCATAGGTTTTGGGTTGTTTTTAATAGTGATCTACTTAAATTTCCTACAAGTTAGGTTTATTTAAACCTGAAATTATGTTTGTAATGTACTTCCCACATTTATGCTGGCAGTTTTGTTTTTAAAATTCCAATTTTATTTGGCCACTGAAATAAAGCAACCAAGTCAATTTGATGTTCATTTTTGAATCGGATTCATTTTCCAGTTCTGATGCACTAACTTTGGCAGGTCGTCTCTGTGACGTGGCTGTTACCTCAGACAGCCTATTTCCCTGTCCCACAGCCTCTCCTCACCACTGCTGCTGAAAGCTGCAGTGAGCAAAGATTTGGAGTAACTAATTCTGCAGCAAAACAGCTCATTCAACATGAACATAAGCTGAGCCGGGGGGTGGAGGGAGCAAAGGCCTGTCACAAACAGCAGCCCTCCAGGATGGATAGAGCTGCAACTTGGCAAAAATGTGGGCTGGATTGTGCAGAAGGGGACCTGCTGGGTATTCTTAAAACACTGGCTGGATCAGAATTTTGCAGGCTGGATCAAATCTCTTCTTGGACCAGATCCAGCTCATAGATCAGTGGCATAATTAGTGCAGGGTGACCAGAGCAGTTGCCCTGGGTGCTGACTGGGGGGGGGGGGGGAGGGGAGGGGGGAGGGCCGGGGGAAAAACGGAAGGGGGGGGGGGGGGGAAAG